GGGGGTGGTGGGTGGAGATGTTTTTTCTCGCGAGTCACACAAGTTAAAATGGTAGCTAGCGGTCTGATTGGAGCTTTCCAATCAGCTGAAAATTGGTCAAAATTGGTTGAAATAGACGCGAAAGTTGATTCATGGCTAAGATCGGTTTGTTTTGCGCAAACACATTGCTAGGAACTAGAGGCTACAGAAGCGGAAAATGCAACAGGACTGTCATGCTATTATTCTCCAATTTGACCGACCCTCGAGAAAAACGTAATGAATCAACGTGCGCACACCACATCCAAGCAACTGTAAGCGGGAAAAACGCAGCCAAGATCTTTGTGTAGTTCGTGTAAGTAATTACTGGTAAAAAGTTCCAAGAAAATTGTCTTTATATAACACCCGTTGAACTCCGCGCTACGATGGATTGGTTAGTAAACGCGGTTCCGGATCTAGCGGCATTCTTAAAACCGCAGAAGCCACATGCTCGCATGACTGACAAATAAAGTGTTTTTGGAATGTTTGGGATATTTTACTGAGTCATGTGATGCGTGGATCTTGGCATTTTAGCAATGATTTGATTTTTGGCGATAACCGTAAAAGGTTTTTCATTACAGATTTAATCTGATAATTCTATTTCCAGAATTAAGTATATCTGTCCGTATGTTGTTGTGTCTTGTTTTGATTCATTAATTAGACATCGGTCTGATATTGGCTTTGGATGATTGAAGAAAACATCACGAGATCACACCCCCGTGCCTAGTTACCAATCTATTTTTCGTTTAAATTTTCAGGACCTTGTGCTGTTGTTACGAGAACTGACATATGTCTTTGGTCTTGAAAATACCCTTTAGTTACATATAATGGCGTTGATAAGACGAAAGAGGCCAACATAGGAGAAATTCAATGCAATCAGAGTTTGTAGCCAGCACTGGTCGACTTATTGGAGTCTTTGACCAGTAAACTAAAATGAAATCATCTAGTATAGAAAGTAAAGGGAACGCATGATCAGCTCAGAGCAATACGCTGGTGGTATTTGTTCCTGTGCCGGAGATTCTGTTCGGCGAAATTGAAGTGAGCTGTCATTTCTTGCTAGTGATATGATTTGTTGTTTTGTAAGCAGTCCAAGATTTTTAGAGACTGACAGCAAATGCAAACCTGTTTCAACATTGTCTTCATATACGATTCTTGTTGTTGATTAAGATACTTACTACCAGAAACGTTAATGGGTGCTCAGCTCCACAATTTCCTCATTTTATTACAGTTTCCTTTTGGTTGAGATCTCGGAAGAAGGATCTTCTAACTCAAGTACGAACTTTCAATGAATCAATATAAACCTGACATTCTTAAAAATAACTCTGAAAAACTGAAGTTACCAAAGTAAGGCTATAAAAACATGACTTGTATACATGCCCCATTAACAAATGGCTTTTATTTACAAGGTAACGACAAGGACAACAGAAAACCAAAAGAAATTATAACTTCTTTTGTTGTTTACCTCAATTAATAATTCGTTATGAACAGAGAGTATGAATGACAGAGTGGCAATAAAACTGGGCAATGAATCATATCAACCGAAAGTAATTCAAAGCCCACTTTAACTTGACTTTCAAGACAATTAAGCCAAATATCAGTCTTTGCATTGATTTCACTTGTCGAAATATGTTGAAAGAGTTCATTTATTTGCAGAGAAACGTGACTACATATATTATTATTACTATAAACGGTATCCTAGTGTTTTGATACACTGATCACTCAGGCCATGATATAAACATCCCTGACCTGCAGCGGTACACCAAACTCGAATGAACCGTGACTAAAACAGTGGGTAACAAGCCTAATAAACTGAAAGGAGAAATTTTCAGTCAACAAGTGCACCTGGTTTAACACAGGAACGATGAATTCAGTGGGTCATGGCCTATAGGAAAGACTCATTTCTACACATTTATGTTTGATTGTCATCAAACAAAGCTAGGTTGATATGACAGATTACTCACTGACCATTCGTTCCTCTTTTCTTTCTTTTCTAGTCATTTGTCATCTTCTATTTTCATGTATTTTGTGCCACGTAAAGTGTTGAAGAGCTCACCTTAACGCTTAGCCTTGGTAACCAAGCTTGCTTCCCAGTCCCTCAACGGTGACAGATGCTGTTTTGGCCTTTGCAGTAGCAGCAAGTCAAAGTTCGGAAAGTTGAAATGTTAAATTAAATCATTGAAGTTGTTCTTTAAAATACAACACTAGAAACTAATGAATATGATCACGGTTTTTCATTGACCGCCTGTTCAGGATAGGATAAGCTTTCATTTAATCCACTGTTGGAGTGAGCCTGGAGTCAAAATTCGATATACGTGACATTTCTTGAAGCCCGGGTCTTGAAGCGGAACAGTAAACAAACAATTCAGCAGCGAGTATATAATACAAAGGCCTAATGTTTTTGAAGATTATTTTTTGTTCATGCCCCGCATTAAAGAAATGACATAAGTAAATAATTGAGGGAAAAATTATAGTTTCTTCTTCCTTTTTTTTTTTGAATGACAACACTGGGAAACAACGACTACCTAGCTCTTAACTCAGCGCAAATCAAAACACAGACCTAAAAATATCGCTGATTCATTGGGTGATGATTGACATACTTTTCTTGTTTGACCAGTTTTTAAACATTAAGTTTTATGAAAATGAATCATGGATGAACAGGAATCACGAATGTTTCCGGATAATTTAATGTTCAAAACTGTGTTTACTTTCTGTTTCCTGCAGTTACGTTACCCTAAATCTACGAAATACGTGAACAAATTCTGTTTCAACTTCTGTTTACACTGAAGCGGCGGCATAAAAAGGGCAGGAGGCGGGCGGGGGGGGGGGAAGGGAATCTCCTGTTGCTAGGCCAGGAATGGTGAGGGGGAATTTGCATAGGGGGGTTCGAGTACTTAAGGTAAAGGCTACCAGTGCTGCTAAAAGCATTTCAGTCTTTATTGACTTCACCTGAGTTCGTGGAGAATTTAAAGGCCTCCTGAGTTCTTTGATCATGGGCTGTCCATTGGCTAAAGAGACAGCTCCCTCTTGCATCCAAACAAGATATAAAAGAATGCATCGGTGAACAAAGCGAAAAACAATCCCAACGAGCACGTTGAAAACTGATACGAAATTACTAGCCATAAACATTCAATATCAACTCATTCAGAACTCGCTTGATTGGCTTTCCAATTTTAGGATGACCTCCCTGACATGTACATGCGCGAGCTACGTTTTTAGTTAACTTGAACATTTCTTATCCCAAGCTCAGTGGTCGTGACTTCGCTCCACAATCCCTCTATAATCTCAGTGGAAATAACTACA